AGCTCAGCTTCTGAATAATGAACAAAATACAAATGATAATCAAACTTTTTACCTGCTTCAGATTCAGGAGGAGAATAAAACTGACCATCAGAAAGACCACCAGGTATAAGTGCCGCCCTCTCTGAAACGTCCTGCACTATCCGGAGTCCTGGAAGAGAAGAAATCCAGATGCTGAGAATGATGCCACTATTCCGGTAGCTTCTTGGCAAGGTTACCCACAATAAAACGTGTTAATGTTACATTAAAAAATATTCTTAACAAAAGGAAGTACTTTGAAACTCTTTCAACCAAAAACTAAGTTTTATTAGTTAACTATATACCTGTACTGTAACGACACATTCCAACTAGTTTTAAAAAATTCCCTCATGTTACTCATGGGTTTCTTTGACTCAGTATTTAAAGCATCTTTCCCTTGAGAATACCTGCCTCCCTACAGAAACCAACAACATCAAAACCAAAGCACAAAGCAAAACAAAAAACCTGGTCAGCTTGTACAAATGGTCTACAGTCTGCATCTGGTTGGAGAAATACCAGATGTAAATGGAGAGACTTTTATAAATATACAAAGAGGAATTAAGATGGTGAAGAAATATTTATTCATTAAAATAGTCCTTAAAAAAGAAGGGTATTAAAAAACAAAGAAAAGAGAAGGAAGCATGATGTAGCAAGGTCAAGGACATTAATGCATGTCTAGAGAGGCCATCGACAATGAGTTCTTCTGACTGAACATGGATTAACAATAAGAAAAAGTTGGAGGAAGCACCAGGCCAAACAGCAGGTGCCAGGTAGTACATAAAATATGCTACAGACAGTGAAAATAAATGCTGTTTTAAAATTTTTCATTAATTCTATATTCTGCTTAATTAGTTACTTTGAATTTAGTTTAATCACATAAGCATTCAGGCCTCACATTAATAGCTGTTCTGCTTTCAATAAAGTTCAATTTGATCTTTACATATAATTTTTAAAAAATGACTTCCATTTATTTTGTCCTTTCTCCATAATATATTTTCATTAAAGAAAAGAAGGCAAAAGATAGAAGACACATCATGGTTTGATTAATGTGTTTAAATCTACTCTTGAGTAATTCTTTCTTATGTATTTCTTCTCTGTAAATGAGGTTTTCCAAAAGAAAACCATTTGCAAAGTTATTTTGCCTTCTGCTAGTTTAACTTTCTATAACAAGACTTTTTTTCCTATTAGGCAGGGCAAATTGAGCCAGATGATTGACAAAGAATAAAAACAGCATGTCTTGAAACTGACTGGGTCTGTGTTGAACTTTGATAATGTCACCTCCAAGAGAGCAAGTGGGGTGCATGGGCTTCCCCTAAGGTCATCATGCAGAGAAGAATTTTACCCCGATAATTAATCAGAAAACTCAATGAGTCATTTGGCCTTCTTAGTCAACATCCAAGGATACTTAGAGCTACACAGGGAAATTATAACAGCTTTGGAAGGACTCATGATTACATGATGCTAGTTATCACTCAGATCCTCAGAGGTGGATGTATGAAAGCCTGAGATGGCTGAGCATTTCCCTGGTTTACTATCTTCCTCCTCTTTAACTCCATCGTCATCACAAACCCACCAACAGTCTGCTGTACCCACTAAAGAATGGAGAAAACGTGATCCGCCTAACTGCTCCCACGTGCAGCTCCATTCAAATCACATTTACAGCTCTTCCAGCTTGGTGCCTAGCCAGTCTCAAGAGACTAACTTTGAGAGAAACTTACTGTTTTCTTCTTCTGCCTCTTGAGGTAATACTTTGAAATCCAGGAACCACGTCTCAATCCAGGCAAGGATGAATGAAATGATGGGCAGCATGTAGCCAAAAGCCCCTTGAGAGAAAAGCTGGAAGAACAGGTATGACCCAGAGAGGGAAATACAGTTACCATGGGCTCACATGAGGCTTTGTCATTACAGATGGTATTGTTCAGAAAAAGCAGTAGGCCATACCTTTGAGAGGATCACTTTCGCTAGTAAAAAGGCACTGGTCACTGCTGTTGTCAACTGAAAGACACAAAAATTCAGCACCATTCAAATTAGACATTTTACATTCCTCACACAAGACACCCATCTAACCAGAAGCACATAATGCCGAGAAAAGCTCAGCCTGACATCTTCCCCTAAACACAGACTGGGGAAAAGTAGGCTTCCGCATGGCACGCAATCCCTGACTGGCTGCTCACGGCTTCTTTTTCCCCACCTTTTGGCAGGCCGGTGTGCTGAGCAACTAAGTTTTGTCTACTAGATGGTACAACATCCAAAGACATTATCACTACTGAAGAAGGGACAGTGAAATATAGAGGCAAGGCTCCCCCTAGGGGTTGGGAAGCCCAGAGATAATCCCATAGGACCTGGCCCTGACTCTTGTCATTCAGTCCTTCAACTAAGACTTGTAGCCATATGAAACCTGACCAAAGAGAATGCCAACAGTAGCCTTAACTGACAGAATGGAGGTCAGGGGATATTAAGTGTCATGCTCAGTAAGTATTAATAAAGTTGCAGAGTCAGTACTTGTTAGCAAAATACTACCGACACGCATGGGCACGGACACATGCATGCGCGCGCGCGCGCGCACACACACACGCCAGCCAGCCAACCAGCCAGGCAGCCACTTGGGAGAGGCAGCATTTTATATTCTGATAATAATTAACTTTACAGGCTGACCCTAAGTGCTCTTTACGTATCAGCTGACTTCTCCTTCAAGTTGCTGGGCTCCTCTCTACATATGTTTTTAAAAATAAAAATCAGAAAGAATAAATGTGCTAAATTTGACCTGTCTCTTTGATAATTTGCAATTAGATACTGAAGATGCTTCCTTGAAACTCTCACTGAGTGTCAACCAGTTTTCTGAAACAAACATTGAGACAGATGGTCTGACATATACTAGTGTACATTATGGAGACTCTGGGACAGAATGTTCCAAATAGGAACTGTTGTAGAAAATTGGGAAGGGATAATCATCACAGCTATTTGGTATTGGCAAAAGTGTATTCAGGAAAGGGAGCCAAGTCTAGCTAAAACTGTCAGCCTATATCCATAAAACATGAGCTCGGGGCTTGACAGATGTTCTGATGTCAGCCTTGTGATTCTGCGCATGCTCAGAAGAGATGGCCCAGGTAGAGGCGGCCCCTGGTGGACTCTGTCTTAGGAGAGCAGCACTCCATTCCCAGCCAGACAAACCACTGCTGGCCCACACACAAACCAAAGTCTCACACTCCAAAAGCAGGACCGCAGGTTATCCCTGAGCAGTTCTCTCCAGCCCGAGGAAAGAGCTCAACAGTGTCCCCATATACCTGCCTTATTAGAGCTCTCAGGAAGGTGAGTGTTCAGACCTCAGTGGAAATGGCAAAAATAATTCAGGCAGAACTGCTTATAATTCTTCTTTCAACCAATAAATATTTATTGAGAATGAATAGCATGTGCCAAAGCTCTATGCCAGATGAAAGGAATCAAAGATGAGTAAAAAGGCTACTGCCTTTAAGAAGCCTAAAGGCAATAATAAAAAGGAACATGAGAACTTTTCCCTTTAAGATTAGAGGGAGGGGAATATAACAGGGAAGATGGCAATTATCAAAATAAGCAGAGCAAACTACGAAAAATCTCCAAGAAGTTTTAACCAACAGGAAATTTTCCAATATCTTTGTGACAGAAGTACTGATCTCATCTTTCATTGCAAAATGAGGTAGAGCGTGGGCTGGTACGTGGCCAATAATCCTGTTGGGCCCCTAGATTTCTCTTTTGGCTTAGTATCCATACAGACAAAGCTAGCTACTCATTACCATTGGAAAGAAGCACTGGCGTGTTAAATTTGCTGAAGTATGGAAGAAAAGGACTCAGGAAAAGCTAGTAGAATTCAACCTAGATGAAAACCACCTCTTCTCTTAGCTTACCCTCGTGGTGAGCTGGCCCTGGCACCAGCATTGGAGGAGACGAACCACTGATCCAGGTATACTCACCGCTATTGCCCACCAATGGCGCAGTCTGCACACAGCATATGCAAGTATTAACACTTTGAATCGAAAAACTGCCAAAAGCTATATTAAAAAGAAAAAAAGAACAAGATACATTTTAAAAAATATATACAAAAGTAAAGTAATTTGGTTTTATGAAGAACCCACCAGTCTTCACTATTCTGATTTAGCTGAAGGCTGCCACAGACGAGCACTGTTCTATTGACCAGCATTTGAGACCCTTGTTCTAGAATTTATGTAATACCACCCAAATAAGGATTCAAATTAACTTCCCATTCTCAACAAAAGAACATATAATTAAATATTAATTTTACTTTCCATTTGAGTACACAGATATTTCTGATATACTTTTAAGATTGGAGAAAATGTTCTCAAAGTTCACTTTTCTACTCCAGCTACAGACGCAGACTTTTGGAAGATACCAGGTTCTTAGAAAAGTCCACTGTAAATCTCCAGGTTACTGGGGTGCTGGGAGCATTCAGCCTATTCCAGTAGCTACCATCTAATTATTGAGGGTGGTTCTGGGACTCTTGTGAACTCTTTATGTGTACTATTATCCTATATAGTCCCCACCCCAACAATTCCATGAGTCAACTCCTATCATTAATCCTATTACACAGAAAAGATGGATAGAAAAATTTTCCAAACCACATGAGTCCTCAGTTGTAGAAGCCAGGATTAGAATCCAGGTAGCCTAACTCCACAGACCAGGCTCTTAATCACTATTCCACAGCTGTTTTAGTAACTCTTATACACTAAGGAATAAACACAATAACATTTTACCAAGTTTACTTGGAAAATATGCTTATGTTGAGTTGGGGAAGTCAGGTTAACTTGAAACTCAGGGTAGAAGTCTGCCAAAAGTTCCTCATTAATTAAAAATGCTGAAAAGCTGGAGGCTGACTTTTTTGCTGCCATTGACTGGATAACCTCACTTAAGATCCTTTTACATGAGTGAAGTTTGCAGGTTATATTTGTTTTTGCTTTGCTGCTTTCACTAAAAATGTGTTTTCCAACAATCTGCTAACCATTTAGTTTCTATATTCATTCCAACTCTGTGTTTGGGACTTGGCAAAAGTATATCTTTAACCCTCTATCTCAAAGTCTCCCAGATCCCAGGGTTCCCTGGGGGCCGTGTCAATTTCCTAGCCCATGCATGACAGTCTAACCCCCTAAGCATGGAGTACAGCTAGTCCATGGAGATCTGACTAGTGGTTTAATCTGGATTCCTGGCAATTCCTGGCTCAGGCTATTTTAAGGTAAATTCAGCAAGAGAAACAGGAGAAAAAAGAAAAATCAATTTTGTTATTTATGTCAATAGTTTCAGAAGAAATAAATATCAAGAGATTTAGGATTTAACATCCTCTGTCACCAATTTCAATGACCTGAAGTAGATCAAGACACTGAACCATGAAATGCAATGTCTTCATTTGGAAAAACAAGGGGATGAAATTATATTAGTGGTTTTACAAATAGTCTGTAGCAGCCAGACACTTTTCAACATACTGTACAAATAAAAATGGAATTACTCAGGTTGCTGCTTATTGAAAATCCCACTTCCTTCCCCATACGCACTTCTGCAGGCCCCTTCAAAAACAAAACAAAACAAAACAAAACAAGACTTTTTAGAGTAGTCTGGAAACTACTAGTAAACATAATCATTAAAATTCTCAACCAAAAATAATGATGATGATGACAGTGATTGCAGGTGGTTCTCTGCACTTCTAGATGTATCATTGGGCTAAATGTTTTCCATGTATTACAATTTCATTTAGTTTTCAGAACAATGATGATCTCATTTTACATATGAGGAAACTGAAATTAGACCTGAAAATCTAGTAATAGTGTTGTGAATCAAACCCAGGTTTTTCTGACTTTAAGGGTCCTACTTGTAACCATGTGCACAGAGTTTCTAAAGATAGTTTTCGAAGATAGTTAAAATGAACTTGAGGGAATTCACTGTGAATTTTAATGGCCTATGCTGTATCTAATGCAGTGTTACAATATGATTTACTAATACTATAAATATGGATATACCATGGAGATGTAGCAAACACAATTAAAGTCACAGTGTGTCCTAGGAAGACACTGCAAGCATTTATTTGAATAAAACAAATGCCTCATCTACATATAATTGCATCTATGTAATTCTACAACTGACTAATGTTGCCCAAGATTACCAACATATAACTGTCTTCAAATTATATTATAGAAAAATGAAACATAGAATTATTATTTAAAACACACTCAAATCTACCTCAAGGCAGAAAAGAAAGGTATTTTCATCATGTTATTATATAAATAGGTGAATTTTCCTTTTAGAAATTAATGTCAATGGCTTCTGTTTCAGCCATTCTACTCCAAGAAAATCAGAATGGCATTTTCTGTTACCCTCTCTTATCTCTCAATAATCTTTTTTTTTTTTTTTTTCATTGAGATGACCAGACAATTCCTCAGAAAGAGAAAGATAGAGACATAAAATGGGCCAGTAAAAAGAAATGACAGTGTTCAAGGGAGGGAACCAATAGCACTGTACAGAATTTGAGGTCTATTGAGAGGAAATTTGCCTTTTGGTTAAGGTTTCATTATATCTAAAGTGAAATAGAAACAAAAAATACTTACAAATATGTCAAAATAAGAAGAGTAGAAGTCATACTTCACCACCTCCTTCTCTAACGTGTTCTCAATGCCTCCATTCACCTAGAAAGAATAAGAAGTGAAAACAAGGTGTGAAAATAATACAAGATAACACATAAGTAAGGTTTTGCATACACTATTCTGCCTATCTTCTCAGAACTCAGAAATGCTAAAATATAGATGAATCCTCATATTTTTAATAGAAAAATAATGAATAGCATTTCCTACTTATTTCTGAATTCATTCATTCAACAAATATAAATTGAATTCATTAATTCAACAAAGTAGGAAATATAGCATTTCCTACTTCTGAATTCATTCATTCAACAAATATAAATGTATAATGAAAAACAATGCTTTTTGTAGTTCATATTTTGGCAAACTAAAATGTTAAACAAGAAAACATTTTTTTCTCTTCAAGATTTCTTAGAAGAGAAAAAAACCACTTAGCCCAAACTTAAAATCCTACACATACTTTTAAAGAAGACAATTCACATTTATCCGGGGCTTCCCTCACATTCTGAACACTCTCCAATGTTTTCGGTTTTGAAAGTAAATTTGACAGAACTTACTTTTAGACTGGATATGGGATGTGAAAAATACAAAACAAACTAACAAATCAAGCAAAGATGAGACTTCATTTTTGACTTGAGTATGTGTATTTACTGATCAAGAAGAAAGGGGAAAGAAGGAGTGTATGTGTGTATGTTGGGGAGGGAGCACGCTGACATCCAACTGGACATGATGTGGAATGTGAATCACTAACTTCTGGAAGATCTCAAAACTATGTTTTCCAATCTTCTCCAGAACCTATAAAATCTCACTCTTGCATTAAGTCTAACACTTCTATATAGCTTTTAAGAATTTTAATAGTCTAGAACAAGCTTACCTATGCGATTTCATTTCCTATATAAACCTTACTGTCTAGCCAGGCTACTATTTTCTCAGCTTCTGTCCCTGTCCTCTCCAAAGTGCACGTGTGTGCGCGCACGCAAACACACACACCCATGCATAAGCACAGACTCCTGCCTCAGTGCCTCTGCTCACCTTGATCTCCAAACCCTTTCCCTATCGTTCCCCAATCCAATTCCAGATCATCCTTCTAGCCCAAATTACACCTATCCTTCCATACCCAATTCACAGTCCATCTTTTCCACTTATTCCTTAGATAAATCTAATCCACTGACCTCCCCCTAATTTGAATTTGTTATTGTTGGTTATCACAGTTTAACTATAGAACATAGTGACAATGGGGCAATAAAATCAGAATCAAAAACGGAAAGAAAATAAGTACCTAAAACATAACAATAGTGAGAAAAGAACAACTCTAGGTTCACCAGTCCCTGCACTCCAGGCTGGGTTGGTCACAGTCAGCTCCCTGACGCAAGGAGGAAAAGTGGTTAAGTAGGAAGCCATATATGAAGGCAAAGTATTGTTATAATCGCATAGAACAGCTGGGTCCCCATATGCTTCTAAAGACTTATGCACCTTTTATGCTATTTCTTTCTTCTTTTAAAGACCAACAGTACAGGCAGTATAAGATATATACCTCCTCAGCTAAATTTTGTTATCTCACAGTTTTTCTGTGGAGCTTGCAACACCTGAATCAGAGGCATATACCCTGGCACTCAGTAAATGTATAGACGTATAAAAAAAAAAAATACAATGGATTTGAATGATTAGAGTTAGAGACGGACAACAAAAGAAAAGGGATGGTACAGAGTGTAGTGAAAAACTCAGGTCAAGATTGACAATTCAAAACAAATAAGACTAGAAATTGAATATTAAAAAAAAAAGACCTTGCTAAAGTCATGATGCACTGTTTCAAAGACTGTATACCCATGCGATCTTTTAATTTTATAACTGGGGAGACTAGCAGGCAGTGGAAAAGTAAGAATAAAAACACATTTCTTAATTGCTAGGCCTGGTGATTTTTCATTTATAACATGTTACACAGAGGTAAACAGAAAAGCCTTCTGATAAACAAGAACTTCACTTCCAGTTGAATTTTCTTAAAGCAATAAAAAGGAGAGAGTGAGAAGTGTGGTCTCGTGAACCCCAGCACAGTTCTGCCCCACAGCTTCCCTCACTTAAAATCATGTGATATTAGTGGTAAATCAATAATTTTTAATTGTGCTCCTTTTAAACTGCTGCTGTTAAAATATGCATTTCTTTTTTCTCTCATTACATAACTATTAGTTTTAAAAATGTGTTTCTTTAAATATATATTAATTTAAATATTTTCTTTAATGTACATAGACAGAACAAACAATAAAAAGAGACACTAAATTATTGTGTCATATCATTGGCTTGTTTAGATTTAAACAAAATAAAGCATACCTATGGTGCTTAATTAACAGAAGGGAAACCTGTAAACAGAAATTTAATAGTAGATTCATGTGGCATAGTACTGCAATTCTGGGTAAATCTTATTTTCTAATCTAAGTATCTGCTGTCATAATGAGTTTTGTTACTCTATTAGGATCCATAATGAAATTAAATGAGTTTATTGACCCTAATTACTAAGAGTCTAGAACTAAAATTGCTGTTATGATTCAGAATATTTGAGTTTAGATTAAGATGTTGAGTCTTCCTATAAAAAGGCAAAATTAAAAATTATTTTCAAACAGGAATCTCAGCATCTTTTCATATTTTTGTATTTTAATAAATTTCTTATAAAGCACCTAGCACTGTGCCTAGCAAAGAATAACGTCTTAATAATAAACAGCAGCTAATAACTATTACTACCTAGGCCTTAGCAAGTATTTCCTAAAACTAGATGAGCTGCTGAAAGCAAAAGGAGCAGACAACTTTGCCTGAGAGGAAAGCATCCTGGAAGAGTTTACCTATTTGTTGGTAAGGAATGTAAACAGAACCAAGGCTTTGGGAGAAAACATATATGGGATTAAATAAAATGTTATTAAATAAATTTCACCTGTTTACTTTTACTTTTATTAAATAAAGGTAGCAGCTAGAGAACTTAAAATTACATATGAGGTTTACATTATATTTTTATTGGATGGTACTGATCTAAACAATTTTTGGCATTATGATTGCATAAACCTAGCAAAATATAGACAAAGCTCCAAATGCTGCCAGGACCTTTTTTTTTTAGATAAAATACAAATAAATAATCTCTTCACTAAAATAATCAAAGAATAAATTAAAGTTTTATTCTTTGTAAAATTTTAAATATGGGAATTAGAAAAGTGGATGCAACACCTAAAATACATTCCAGAAGCATGCTACATTTTTAGGAACAAGGATCAGAAATCTTTTTCTGAAAAGGGCCAAGAATAAATATTTTTGCCTTTGTGGGACAGACTGACTGTTAGAATTACTCAACCCAACCACTCAGCATAAAAGCCAGCCGTAGGTAATATCTAAACAGATGGGCAGGGTTGTTGTCCAATAAAACTTTATTTATAAAAACAGGCCAGCTGAATTTGGCCCCCAGGTTGTAGTCTGTCAACTCCTCTCATAGAGTAAAACATCATTAATTCACATTTCAAAATCCCACACAAAGTGAGTTTTAAATTAACTAGGTTTATGTTAGTTTTTATAACACTAAAGGACAAGAAATGTACAAATCAGCTAGAAAAGACCAACGTTGCCTCATTTGAGGAAAAAAAAAAAGAAATGTACTAAATGAGTCAGAAATGATAATACAATTTATTTTTTGTCTCTAGAAAGAATTCTTATAAAGTCACGGGAAAAAAAAACACTTACATTTAACTCAATTATCCACAGTAATGTTATAAATAAGAGGTCAAAGGTGACAAACAAACAGAAAGTCCTTCTGACATCAGATATGCCTTTCTTTTCCCTTCCTTCATAGGACTCAATCCTGGCCATGAGTTGTGTAGGGTTGATGGAATGGATGTCGTGAAAAGCAGCATGAGAGCTCTGGCTCCCTGTGAAAGCGTTCTCCATGTCTTCCAGCAGGGGATTCATCCTGGAGCGGGGTTAAAGGAGCCTTTTTCCAACTTCACCATCCCTGGAGAGATCTTTGGGGAATAAAAGAGAGATACCATGTTAAATCAGAGCTCACCCAACACCACAGCAATATCCCCACTGCCAAGCAACTGCTTCTCTAAGTGAGCATCAGAGTATCTTCACTGAAGACATTTATGTCTTGATGAAGACATAAAGAGAAAGTGAAATGAGAAGCAATTCTTGATGTTATCAATCAATACTACAAAATAACTATTATGAAGAAAAATGGCAATAAAGAAAAAGGCAAATTTACAGTGGTAAAGGATAAAAAGAGGATGTTAACCACAGCAAAAAAGTGTGCCTGGTAACCTGGAGCAAGCCTCTTGGCAAAAAATCGAAGCCAGTTCTCTTGCTGTGCCAGGGAGAAAACTTCTACAATTCTGTGTCATTGCATGGACTAGGAAAACATTTACTGAATATCTTTCCAGAGAGTGTACAACCAGAATGTGTAAATTAGCTATAAAAAAATTGTTTCCCAAAACAGAAATGCTTTCCACTAAAGGTGTCTAATAAACCAAATTTAGCATTTCCCCATCACCTCTTAATTAATAAACATGTTTCTGGGCCTCTTCTTAGAAAAGAAGTACGCACAATGCAAAATTTCAGGAATACCTAAATGTCCCACTGAAAATTACGGAGTTACGGTCCTATGTGGGGTTGCAGGACCCCCTCCCTCCAAGGCCAGGGTGTGCTTCCATAGTGAAAAGATTTAGCACTCTAAGTGATCTGATCTCCTCATGGATAAGGCAAAGTCATCAAATAAAGAGCATGGTCATAGTATTTTTGTTTGCCAAATATTCTAGTTTCTCTCCCTATAGAAGCTCTTCCTGTGGGAGGATTATATTATATACTCCTGGCTCTACTGAACTCATGTTCCTTTTTTTGGCCAATGTAACGTGGGTGGAGTTTGTTTATCACTTACATCCACCTCTTAATAACAAGGTTCATCATGCTCTCTTTTCTTTCTGCCACAATGACTGGCCATGTCCAGATAAAGTAGAATATTTTCAAGGTGAGTAAAATAAAATTTCAAAACATTGCTGGAATTTCCCTAAGGTAATATGATTCCATTTGGTTCTATTCGCAGGCCAGAACTCTGTCTCTTCATACTTGACCCTCACTTCTCTACCTTCCCACACTCAGAAACAAAATTCCTTTCCACATTTTCCCATATTTTTCTAATTTTTTATTTTGCACAGATTACATTTGCAATAGGAGGGACTAAAATTCAAATTTAATTTTATTAGCATCCTGGACAGATGTCTCAGGATTTTATAAGCCTCTTTCCTCCCTCTGCAACCCATCTGGGCAATAGCAGATATCATCATCTCAGTCATTCAATTTGCCTCCTCAGTCAGCAAATCAGTAAAGTATCTTAAAAAGCTCAACAGGAGTCCACTTCAGTGCCTTGCAAAAGAAAATATAAAGTTCCAAAAATTGAAGTTATTTCTACACAATTTCTTTCTCAATGAGACCACTACCATCCTAGTAAAAGAAATAGCAATGGCACATTCCCTAGAAAAGTTGCTCTTAAAACAAAGCTTGTAAAATACTAAGTTTATCTGCCAGATTTTTAAGAGTTAATTCTGAAACAATAAGTAAAAATGAATGTAAACCATGTTTTCTGTGATGAAATATATGTTTCAGAGTGCAAAAAGATAGCAGATATTCTCTAAAAGTGGATGAATATAGGCATATTTCTGCAACAACATATGTTACATAAAGAAACAGCAATTCAGATAATTTTTAAGCCAATCTAAAAATCTATCAGCAACTATATCTAAAACTTAATTTAAATTCTTAAATCCACTAAACAGAAAATCCAACAGTCACAATTCAAACTCAGTACTATTTTAGAAAGAAAATCATTTTCAAGGTAATTAGATCATTTTCTTAGTCTCACTCATTCCTCCTTTCCTGATTCCACTTCTCAAGAATAAGAAAGGACAAAACAAAACACCAACCTAGGAATCTGAGACCATTTCAAACTAAAAATTGACATCATACAGATGGTATACAACCACCTTGGAAATGAGAAGCATTATATTATTTTTCACATGTTTGCATGTAACTGGTAATTAGCTAGCATTTACAGATACTTGCATAACTTCAATAATAAAGTTACCCAAAGCTCAGATTTATCTTGAGCAGCTTGATTCTAATCAGACTGATCTCTCTGGGACAGAAGGAAATTCTAAGAGAGAAAGCTTCATTTTAATGTGTAAAGAGGATACTTCCTAAAGCCCCTTTCTACTCTACAGTTAGAGGTCTTCATCCTGACCTCCAAAAACATTCAGGATCTCAGATTTCTCTGATGAACTGAGGAGACCACAACTTCCTGTTTCAGAGGAGAGCTTGGATATTCTTCCAGATATAATTTCAGAAGTATTAAATATTCAGTTCTTGGTACTGAGATCCTCTCTAGTACTTAAGGAAAGATACGCCTCTCTAAAAAGAGCGTTAAGTATTGATTAGCTGTACACACAGGAACTAACTCTACAATTCAAGACTTATTTCAACCACAGGGAAAGCATGGGGGATGAGGAGTAGTGTCGAGAATCATAAAGAAAAAACACCCCTTTATCTTTTCTCAGATTTGTATGAGGAAAATCCCTTTTTGTTGTTTTGGATTTTGAAAACAAGAATCATGTGGTCACTATTTTATCCAGCTGGATAATTCTCCTCCACTGTAATATTAGCCAATTATTTCTATAATTATGCTGCATTAACAGCTACTCCAATATTCAATGGGTAAAACAATCTATATTCTCAAGCTCACAGGCCTGCAGGCTGCCTGAAGCTTGGCTGATCGAGTATGGACTCAGCTGGGCAACTCTGCTTCAGGTTGTAGGTAGTAGAACTTGGCTTCAAACTGTGTTGTGGGGGTCTAGCTCTTCTCCCTATGTCTGTTTTCTTCCTTGGATCAGGACTACCTGGGGCATGTTCTTTTCATGGCAACTGAAAAGAGCACATTAGAATAGCTAGATCATGTAAACACATCCAAAATCTCTGTATCCATTATGTCTACTCACATTCTATTGGCCTAAGTATGTTTCAAGGTCAAGCGCAAAGGCAAGAGAGCTGGGATGTACATTCCACCCAGAGGAAGAGTAGGTAAGTGAATATTTGCTGATTAATATTCCAATCTAGAACAACTATCAATCTTCTAGATCAGAGGTCAACAAACTCTAAGCTACAGGTCAAATATTGCCTGCTGCCTGTTTTTGAACATTGAGTTTTATTAGAATGCCACCACACCCACTCCCACTGTCTATGGATGATTTCATAGTAAGATGGCAGAGGTGAATTGCTGCAATGGAGACAATACTGGTTCATAAAGCCTAAAATATTTATTTTACTATCTGAATTTTTCTATAAAGAGGGACTACTGCTTTCAGCTCTCAAAGGGTGCTCGGGTTAGATTGAGAGCTATCAGATTGGCAAAAATAGACTAATTAACGAATATTAATTTTTCCAGTGCATGCTCTTAATCTGTCACTAGCAAAAACTTGTAATTCATTCTTAGTTTTCTGTGGTTGCTCTAGTGACACACCACAGCTTAGACATGGGTGGTCTTATGTTGGCTTACCTGAGGGCCACTTCAGCAGTATTTACAGAATGAATACACTGCTCTTCATCTTATTCACTTTCCTTAACTCCATACTACTAGAATTGAAGAAAATTTCTATACTGGAAGTTTCCTAAATGATGATATTCTTCTCATACAGAAAAACAAAACCAAAAACAAATCAAAAACCTTGAAATCTTTTCTGCTTCCCAACATAATTGCTTACGCCTTTGAGATTCTTCTCCTGCATTAGTTCCCATCCTAGGTGCAAAGCTGGGCCAGAACTTTACCTCCATCTACTTCAGCATAGAACTGACTGATACTATCTAGATGACAAACAGCAGTTGCTTTGAAGCAGTAACTACCACCACTGGTATTTTACAGAAGTCCCACAATTTCTTGTACCTTCCTAGGAGGAGTAGAGAGAGCCCATGGGTATCTACTAGTGGCAGCCAATCCAAGGCTCTCAACCCAATCACCCAGCCTTCTTCTCTGTACTACTTCTGACAACAGCCAGGACACTGTATATTCTCCTCCAAGAGGGAGTATCAGAATAACAGACACTAAAAATATTTAATTCAGAAAGATGTCTTCTGTTGTCATCTTATCCAAAGGCCTAGGGAGCAGATTTGGCTTACAGACATGTTTTGCTTGGTATTATACAGTGTTTCTAAAGATTATAAACTAATTGCTGACTTTTTTTTTATGCCTACAGCACCCAGTCTTCCTAGGTGGTCCCTCATCCAAGTACTAACCAGGCCTGACTCCGCTTAGCTTCCAAGATCAGATGGGATCAGGTGTGTTCAGGGTGGCATGGCCAAAGATGCTAATTGCTGACATTTTAAATAATGAATTTTCATATAAAAATCCAGATTTCCAGTTTCTCTTGAAAAGTTAAAAGATACAGAATCATCAGGCCTGCATCCCCATACCATGATAAAAAAGCCAAGAAGCAATTTACCTCTTCAAATGGGGCATGCACTGGCCTCCATTTTGACCTAGCCTAGAAGCATCTGAGTTTGCCTTTCTGCTCTGATCCCACTCCCTTGTTTTACAGGTGAAGAGATGTATTAACACCTTAAGATTGTGCCTTATCACATTGTTTCAAACCTTTCTTCATCTTTGTTATCAAAGTTATTCTTTCCTATCAAGTAAATGTTTGTTTACAGATTAAAGAAAAAGTGAAGCTGAAGCTTATGGCGATTATAGGGATGCACCCATCTAAGAGATATTTCAAGGTATATATTAGGATTAAAACTTGGGTCTTCCACTTCTTTCCTCTCAATCATTCCATATTCCTAGAAAGAAATCAATTATTTCAAAGTAATAAGTGAAAAAATTTCTAAAGCATTTAAATAAAACCATCCAACCAATTGTTTTGTATTACTTTAAAAATCTTTCCTGAGTCAAAGACTGAAATTTTGCCAGCAGGTCCCTATTAATTTGCCAACTGAAAATAAGTGAAATATTTTTAAAAAGAAAAAGAAAAAAAAATTATGTGCACATATGAAACTCTGCAAGGCTTTCTATAGATTTGCCCATATCATCAGGGCTAGAATGGGGGAAAAAAGAGGAGAATTTTGAAACAATTAAAATAATACTACTACTCTCTGAGAGTTAAACTATAAATTCAACACATAATGAATTAAGACAAGATGTGATGTGTCCTTAAAGAAGCAAACTGGCTCACAGGCCAAGATATGAGAACAAGCTGACAGGACATATGTTCAGATCTAAAGAAGGGAAGAGGGAATGTGCCCATAACCAAGGGGTGGGCCAGTCTGGAGAAGTAGTGTCACAGCAAATGGTAGTTGTGCCCAACCTGGCAATGTTTAAGTGGGGGCACCTGTTGGATTTTAAGTACCTCCATCCACTGGCCAGATTAATTCTATGATTAATACAATGGCAATTTATTAATTCCCTGTATGCCTCCCACAACCTTTTAAAATTCTACGGTTCTTATTAAAATTATATTCTATGTAGAGAAACAATAAACAGGTCAGCTTGAAATAAACATTTAGTCTACATGGCAGTGACAGTGGTCACTGCAGATTCTGAGACATGAGTCTACTCACATAAGGCAGAGCTTCTTTCCACTGCGCTCTGTAAACAGAAGCTGACAAATCAGGTTTCTCAGTCAACAAGAAAGAGGGCTACACTCAGATCCTAAGAAAGTAACAAATGTGATGCCATTGAGAAGTTTTTTGGGAGGTGGACGTCTAGATGTCTCCTAATGACCCAAAACAGCACTATCGGGTACTAACTTGCTCTTTGGGAACTTCTAGAGATACCATTTAGATATCATCTTACTGATGATTAGCCACCATAAAATATTAACATATATCCTGTAAACAATATGCAAGTGGTAACATTCCAAAAGAGAATTACAGACAGTTTTATCATCACTCCAGCATTCTTCCAATACCTCTTTATAAATTTACATGCAATTACCAATGATTTTCCTTAAGTAGAATTATTAAATAGGACCAGTTATCAGGCTCAAACCAAAGCTATACAACTGAACTTGACTGCAATGATAATACAACACATGCTTATTTTAAATCTAACTTGCAAGTATTTGGGGCTGATTACTAATTCATAACCAATAAAAAGCAGGAGAGGTACATAGTTCAGCTAAAGGTTTTTAAGAAGTACACACAATCTTCAAAATGTCAAGATGCATAAGTTACTCTAAAGATTCTAATACATATTCTCTTAACTCAGTAAGTATAGCTAATATTTGGATTCTAAAATGTCAGGTTTATGATTGACCACTCAGTATCAATGTATGCTTTACCAGAAAGAACAGAGACATAAAATGGATCTTTAAAAACTAAGAAAATGCAAAAGCTAAATAAATGATAGATTATAATCAAAATGAGAGGTTTGAATAATTTACATTTTTATTTGGTATTTTAAAAACAAATTTAAATATAATAATTATTTGAGTACTATAATTAAGTTTTTTTTAAGATTGATAATTATTTTCTTAACCCTACAATCAGACTATATGCTATTTTGAGGATGCAATACACCATGTTTACAAAACTGATCATAAAACTAGACTACTAAAAATATCGAATAACTCTTGCAATTAGAGACTGTATACAGAAGAAACTGCACAAAATAGAAATTTAAAACATAGTATTTTTAAAAATAACTACTGAGATAAATACATCTAAAAATCAACTATTTGAAAACAATGACAGTAAAAACAGTAGACAGTCATCCAAGTTGAGCTTATTATCAAATTTACTTTCTTAAAGTGCTTTAATTACTCTTTGAAATAGCTTTTTAAATAAGAGTAAAATTAAAGAATTAGGCACTTAAATAATAAAGTTATAAAAATTACAATTATCCCATGGGGGAAAATGTAAAAAAGAAAAAGAATGACTATATTTAATAAATAAATCCAAAAAGATGACAATTGTTCCAAGCTGGGGGATGGGTACAATGTGATTTATTATACTATATACTATTATACTCTCTACTTTTGTACATGGATGAACATTTCCACAAACAAATTTAAAAGATATAAATAAACCCAAGTATTAATTAGTCTTTTAAAAGGACAAATAGGCAAACCTAGATTGGGGAGGGACAGATTAAGAAAGGAATACAAGTACAACTACAGAAGAGGTTATTTTTCAAAGGGTAAGTGATACTTTATATTAACTACATTTGAAAATCATAAAGTCAATACTCTGGAAGATGCAGATCGCCTGAATATAAAGAACCATACCAAAAAGAAAAGGAAAAAGTTGACAAAGAATTATCTAGCAAAGGAACTAGAGTCAGACAGTTTGACAGGTATTTCAAAATTTGAAATAAAAGATAAACAAAATCCTATAAGCTGTTCCAGAACATTAAAAAGGAGAGCTATCCTATTATTAAACAAAGCTAATATAATCCTGACATTATCTGACCAAAAAATACACAGCACAAGAATGAACACAAGTATAAACTAATCTCATCTATTAACATATCACATCATATTTTATAACACTGTATTCCATATATAAACATAATGACAAAATCAAGTTTCCATACGCCAAGACTGAGTCAGGCAAAGTGCTGAGTACTTAACATACATTATATATTCAAGCCTCACAACAGCTCCGACAAGTAGGACCCACGTATTAGAATATAATCTTGAAACAACACATAAATAAGTCAAACTCATATAACTAAAAACTAAACCTATTAATAAGGAAGGCAGATATTTCTGTTTATCCATTAAAATGTTTCACTATATTTTGAAAGCATGTACTAACACAACTTATAAATCATTTGTGACAAAAAGCTTTGAAATTATGTATGTTCTGACTGGTTTTTAATTTGGAGAGACTGGCATAACTTCAAACTTTGTGGAACTCCTTATTTCCATAGACATCTACTGTCCTCCACTTTTCTTAAAATGTGGCTCTCTCAAGTTTCTTATTTTCCAGGTTTCGAGGGAAATACATGTGTGATACAAGAAAAACCATAGTGTAAACTGAAAGAAAACTGGCAACCGACAATCAACCTTGGGAGAAAGGAACTAGAAGCAACCAGGAGAGGAGTGTGCCTGATCTTCAGGGGCCGTATGTGTGGACAGAGATGCCATATTGTTGATTTATCAGTAGAAGCCAGAAATCTGAACTGTAATAAGAAATGTACCAAATATCAAGCATTAGTTCAATTAAAAAAAATAAAAGCACCAAAGATCAGGCGCTATAAACCACCATCTTGCCTTTACTTTCCTAAACTTTTCTACAACGAAAAACTTGTGTAAATGAAAAAGCATCTACAGATGATAAAGATGCCACTGAAATTCAGTTGCAAAATAATACAACTATTAGTCATTCTAGTACATGGAGAAAAAAATCTATACATCAAAATATACTGAAGATCTTATTTAAAACTTAATGAAAAAAAACCATTTTCATGGGTTATGTAGAAGAAACTGTAGATAAGTAACATAATTTGGGGATGAGGAAGTTCTTCCTAAGAAAGTCAAGGAGAAACAGGTTTGAATACATAAAAATCAAAAACTTTTCTATCAAAAAAACATCAAAAGTATAACTTAAAAGTGATGAAAGACATGATGAAATCCTTAAAACTCAATCTGAAAAATGAGCAAAGACAAGGCACCTAAGAAAAATAAATGTACTGATAAACTAAAAATTAATAATAATTCTCACCCGACACCTGTAAGTTTTTTAGAGAAGTAAACTAAATTTATGAGTTCATTTATTAAATAGTTTCCTTGACCTTCAGGTAGACCTCAAATTCCTTAATCTTGCTTAACCTAGCACATGGCCTACTTCTGTCTACTTCTCCATAATCACTTCGACATACTAAAAATTATAAGCAGTTTGCTAAAGAAATCACGTTCTCTGGAATCTCTGTATTTTTCTCTCTATTGGGAGTTCTACTCTCCCTATATCTATGGCTCTTACTCTTCTTATAAGTCTTAACTCAAAAGTCACTTTCTCAGGAAAGCTTTTGCTTCCTCCTCCTCTTCCACGCCTATGGGAGAACAGTACACACAGACCTCTATAATGACAGCTATTACACTGCATCCAGGTTATTTTTGCTCCACATTTTTTTCTAAAAAAAGTAACAGCTTACTTAGGATAGTGTGATTCATCCATTTACCAGTCCCTTCATTCTGGGCTTCATTCTGGGAGTGAGAAGAAAGTACAAACCAAAAAAAAACAAAAAACAAAAAACAAAAAAAAAACGGGGGGGGATGGGGAAGGGGAAAAAAGAAAACAAAGGCCATTTAAAATAGCATAAGAAACATAACACCCTAAGAAATTAACAAAAATATGCAAGGTCTCAACACTGAAAACTAAAATACTGCTTAGAGAAATAAAGAAAATGAATATAATGGCGAGATATATTATGGAAATAAAGAATCCATATTGCTAATATTTCAATTCTCCTCAAATTGATCTACAGTCAACTCAATCCCAATCAGAATCCTATCAAGGTTTTTGTTTTGTTTTGTTTTGTTTTTTGTAGAAAATGTCAAGGTAATTCTAAAATGTATGTAGAAATGCAAAAAAATAAAAATCCAAAGCAACTTGACAGAAAACAAAATTGGAAGACTCACACTGCCTAACTTAAAGACTTCTACAAAGCTTCAGTAATGAAAACAGGATGGTACCAACATAAGGATCAACAAATAGATCAATGGAACATAATGGAGAGCCTCGAAATAAACCAGAACTTATATGATCACTGGACTTTGGGCAAAGATGTCAAAGCAATCCAATGGTGAAAAAGAAAGTTTGTTTAAAACAAACAATGTTGAGTCAACCAGATATCAAAATTGAAAAAAAAAAAAAAGAACCAAAACCCAAATTTTACACCATGCAAAAAATAAGAATGTGCAGCAGAATATTTTTACTACCTTTTTATAGGCAAGGATTTCTTTTAAAAGAAACAAAAAAGAAGTGAGGCCATGATGTACACAATTAAACTTGTAAATAGTTCAGAAAAATGTAAGGATGTTTTGGGATGGAATTGCTTGCTCTATCCATCTATTCAAACATCTACCCAGTATGTATAAACATATATACAATACAAATATGTTTAAACATAATGTGTATATTATGTATTGATAGCTTAGAAAATAAAATGGAATAAACATTGCTAAGAGAGTCACTTAAAATACAGTCAGGAGGCTATTAAGGAAGTGGGGCCTAGCACACCTTGTGCTTCCTTAGTTCTCAGAGCTGCTGCTATTAAGTTGCTAAATCTGTTGCTAAACTCAGCTCAAGGACATCTTGGAGCCATAAGCATCCTGGAATAACTGTTACATGCACACATATAGACTACTTTCTTGTAGTTTTTGACTCCCTTGTTTGCATACTGAAACTAACCAATTCCTGTTAATCTACTCAGGAATCCTTCATTTGCATGGAAGAATTACATTTTGTGGTTTTTGCCTTTATAAATCCTGCCTTTCTCTGTTCTATCCAGAGAGCATTTTGGGTTGCTACGTGAATGTCTCAAATCCTTTTCCTCAAATAAATGCCTTCTGTTCTTTATTAGAGCCTGAACCTCTCCTGTGGTTAACAGTATACCTATGCATATGTAGTCTATAGAGATATCAAAGAGAGTAAGGCATTTTCATTGCAAAAATAATCATTAAATTAACTTTGCTTTGAGTATGAGCTACCTTTAAGAGCACAGAGTAAGGAACCAGAGTTATCCAAAAAACCTCTTAAATAATTCTATAAAATAGAGTGGACATGGAATTTGTATACACATTTTTGAATAATAACTATGTATACAACGGTTTGTGACACAGTGACAGATTAAAAGGAAAACCTATATAAGATTTCTGGGCATCCAAGTCATTCTGCCCTTCATATATCTATTAAATTATCTAGACAAAATGGAGATTTGAGTGTTGAAGTTAAAGACTGCTAAAGTGCTTGTGACTGCAGATAGGAGTCATTCTGTCTGAATCTTGAGCCAACATTAAATATCTAATAACGGTCTTTTTGTTGTTGTCGTCATAAGGTTTAAATGAAACAGTGGAGTGTACACTGTGCAACAGTTTGAGTCTGAAGTTTACTCACTTCTTGGTGAAAATGCACATGAAATCACTTTACTTCAAGCTTTTAAAAGCCAAATTTGTCCTTCATTTGTTCCATACATTTGTATTCAAATACTTCCCAGACACTTAGAGAAAGATTTTCTATAAAGCATCACCTATCAAGGCTCAAGCACATCATGTGTTATTTTATTCAAGCAGCTAACTTAGTACACTGGTACTCACATTTCAACAGCATTTCTTTTTGTTCTTTCTCTTACTTTAAGAATTCAGAAATCCAACTACACAGTGGTTTGTCTATCTATAATTTCATGGATTTATTCCAAATATCTATTTTTATAGATATCATATTACCTAGTGTTGTTTACATTTGTTTGGGATGGAATGAAAGCTTTTTTTCCATCCTGATAAATTTGGTCACTTTCCGCTGCTTGCATTCTTCTCTCTTTCTCCCACACATTCAAGAGGACTCTCTATTAAAGCTCTATATGATTTTTTGCAGTCTTGTCTTATTCACTAATTTTGGTTAACATTAGTAGATGAAAGTAACCATGTGCACATAAACAGAATTTAATCTTTTGACAATCTGCTTCAAGACTCAGATTTACTTAGAAATTATCAACGACTTACAAATTAAAACAGAAAACAAATATGCTATGGTGTTTTTAAGTCTCTCTTCTAATATACACTAATTTATCTCCTAAGCCCAAAACTGTTCTAATAGCATTTTCTTCCTAAGTAATCTATTTCTATAGCAATATTAGAAATATCAGAGGGTTCCAGTCAAGATGGTGGAGTATGTAAACACTGTGCTGCCTCCTCCCTCGACCATATTAAAATTACAACTAAATTACTGAACAATCAACCTGGATAACTATTTGCAGACAAGCTGAAGAGAACTCCTATAACTAAGGATATAAAGAAGAGGCCACGTTGAGATATGAAATGGGCTGGCCCTACACCTACATGTGGTGGTTGAATATTGGGAGGGATATCTTGGCTGTGGAGGTCCCCCAGAGGAGTGAGGGGTCCCAGCTCCACACTGGACTCCCCAGCCCAGGGTTCCAGTGCCAGAAAGAGGAGTTCCCACAAAATCTGGCTGTGAAAATCAACAGAGAGTCTTTGAGGTAAGATAGAAGGCTGCCGGAAACCATTGAGGTAAGATAGAAGGCTGCTGGAAACTCAGAATTCCTCTTAAAGGGTCCACACACAGACTCACTCACACACAGGCACTCATCTTCACAAAGGCACTCACCCTGGGCTCCGGTGAAGGGACTTCGGCTCATGTGGGACCCTGTTCCTCCCAACTCATGTACTGCCCGAGGCTCTTTCAGCTACTGAGTCTTATGAGCAACCAGAACGCAGCCTCAGGCCTGGGGAGGATCTGGGCCTTTTGCTGACCTGTCCCAGGCTGGTACTGGTGAGAGCTGGCCCACATGCCTCCAGGTCCAGAACAGGCAGCAACCAACCAATGATAGTTTTGAAGAGGTCCCAGAATCAAACACCCGGAGGCTGGTGTCAGATGATTAGGCCCACAAGCGGCATACTCAAAGGGTGGTCTCAACAGGCACACAAGCCCATGGGTGAATCCCACTCCATGGGGTCAGCCCCACAAGCAGCTTATAATCTGTGAGTGTGGCCAATTTTCACAACCAGTCAGCCTGAGAGTAAATCCCCCACACTAACATGCCAACAGCAACCAAGGCTCAACTACAACAAGAGGGTACACACAATCTACACAAGGGACACCCAGTAAAGGTGATCATGGAGACTGCGCCACAGGACAACTACTACATAAGGTTATCTGGACAAGACTGGGAGATGTAGCAGATCTACCTAATACAGAGAGAGGGAAAAAACATAGAAAGGCAGCCAAAATGAGAAAACTAAGAAATATGTCCCAAATGAAACAACAGGAGGAAATTCCAAAAAAAGAAATAAATGAAGTGTAGGCAAGCAATCTAACAGATACATAGTTCTAGTATAAAGATACTCAATGAACTTAGAAAAACAGAAATTCTCAGTGAGAACTTCAACAAAGAGATAGTAAGTATAAAAAAGGGCATAGAAACCATTAAAATAAAAACAGAAATAAAGAACATAATAACTGAAATGAAGAATTAGAGGGAATAAATAGCAGATTAAATTAAGTAGAGGATTGAATCAGTGATTTGGAAGACAAGGTAGCAGAAAACACCTAATCAGAATGGCAAAAAAAAAAAAAACACCCATAAAATGAGGATAGTTTCAGAGGCTTCTGGGACAACATCAAGCATAGCAACATTCCCATCACAGGAGTACCAGAGGGAAAAGAGAGAGAGCAAGGAATTGAAATGTCTTTGAAGAAATAATCACTGAAAACTTCCCTAACCTGGCAAAGGAAACAAATATACAAGCCAGGAAGCTCAGAGAGTCCCAAACAAAATGAACCCAAAGAGGCTCACACCAAGACACATCAAAATTAAAATGATGAAAGTTAAAGTCAAAAAGAGAATCTTAAAAGCAGTAAGAGAAAAGCAGTTAGTTACCTTCAAGGGAGCTCCCATAAGACTGTCAGCTGATTTCTCGATAGAAACATGGCAAACCAGAAGGGCTTGGCACAAAAATTTTAAAGTAATCAAAAGCAAGGACCTACAACCATGACTACTCTACCCATCAAGGCTATCAATTAAAATTGAAGGGAGATAAAAAGCTTCCCAGACAGGAAAAAGCTAGAGGAATTCATCACCACCAAGCCAATATTACAAGAAATGTTAAAGAGACTTCTTTAAGAAAAAGAAAGTAAATATGAATAACAAATAGCAATAACTATGTACCTATCAATAATCATTTTAAATGTAAATGGATTAAATGCTTAAGACATAGGGAGGCTGAATGGATAAGAAAACAAGACCCAAACATGCTATCTACAAGACATCCACTTCAAATTGAAAGACATACACAAAGTAAAAGGATGGAAAAAATATATTCCATGCAAATGGCAATGAAAAAAAAGCTGGGGTAGCCACACTCACATCAGACAAAATAGACTTTCAAACAAAGGATGATAACAGACAAAAAGGAACATTATATAATGATAAAGGGATCCAACAAGAAGATATAACCCTAGTAAA